AAAAAAAAAAAAAAAAAAAAAAACCTCCCTTCCTTCCCCGCTCCCCGCCAGGCCGCTGACATTTGAAACGTTCAAGTTAAATCCCGTTTGCTACTTTTGCTACTCTCCGTGCCTCGTGCGACTAAGCTATTACAGTATATACTTGTCATACAAGGCCCTACTAGTGTGAGTAGGCCCTAAGAAGGGCTGATACCCGAAGTGACACAAATTATAGCTAGAGAGAGAGAGAGAGAGAGAGAGAGAGAGAGAGAGAGAGAGAGAGAGAGAGAGAGAGAATATACCACTTAGATGGACAACCGCAGTTGCCCGCCGAGCAAGATGAGAGGCCAAAGCAATTGACGATAAGCAGAATCAAGACCCCAGCATCACCGCATCATCGCCTCTCGGTGACGACAATCGATCATCGACAAACCCTCCTTAATGACAAAAAATGCAATTATACCAATGACCTCAAGTTCGACAACGATCCTTGTTCACTCGCAAAAGGCGCCACGTGGACGAGTACCGCACAGGCAAAGATCTGTAATTAGACGAGGAACAGTGGAACACTGATCAGCAGCTACTGTACTGTAGTACTAATTAGCCCCTGAATGGTAACGCGCAAAGACCATCGCAAATCATTCACCCCGCACGAGATCGAAAATAGCGAAGAGTTGGAAACAAAGAGCTGCTCCCAAATACGAGATCGGAACTCAAACAATTACGGCCACCGGTTGTACATACAACACGACGGAGACAGTCTGTGAGGGATGTTAAAAAAAAAAAAAAAAAAAAAAAAGAGGCAATCCACTGGCAGATAACTTCCCTACATTACAATTTGCTCCCTCACGTGATTGGTTCACCCACAATCGTGTCGTTGATTTGTTTGATGTCAACATCGATCACGTCGATGATTGACTGACAACATCGAGAATTTGGTTGATGTCAACATCGGTCACGTGGATCATTGGTAGATCACAAGAATCACAAAATGTATCAGGTCGATGACTGATTGATTGAATGAATGATTGACTGATCACAACAACAACAACGACGATGATTGATTTATCAATCGACACGACCACAACACCGACGACGTCGATTGATTGATTGATTGATCACAACACAACGAGAATTGATTGATCGATCACATCAATGCATGGTATTGATTGATCACAACATAAATCAATCAATTTCAATGTCATCTCGCTGATTGGACGACGATGAGAGGATCGCAGAGGCTCCCCGACAACATACACTTAACTCCGACGAGTGATGGATAAGGATTGAAAAAAAAAAAAAAAAAAAAAAAAAAAAAAAAAAGCTGATGCAACCGGAAAGGGACACACACTAATCCAAAAGGGTCGGACTCGTCGGGCTGTATACAATGGGCGCCTACAAAAGCTCAGTTGGTATACCGACGAACTGTTGGAAAACAAAATACAGCCCCAAGTTCGAATCCAGACACGCAATCAGATGACCAGAACAAAAAATCATTTTTTTTTTTCTTTTTTAGGCGCAATTCCTTTTTCTTTTTTCTTTTTTCAAAAGGGGCCCAGTGCTCAAGGCTACAAAAACAGTGTCCACAAATTTCAAGTTCAGGGGCAACGAGGTCTCCCTGAATTACCTGGGGCCGATCCGTCCGATGACGACACCTAAAGACCGTCACCCTGCCACCCTTTTTTCTTAAACCACCACTACCTCCGATCCTGCTTTTGCCGAGCCTGATTTTCAGTGCGCACCGAGTTTACCCGAGCCGGGGCCTTTCGACCCACGAAGAAACAAGAGAAAAAAAATATAAAAAATATAAAAAATCCCGAAAGCCTCGATATTCTATGAGGTGCTCGTGTGACTGTGCCCTCAGTAAGCGTGTAGCGGACAAACAACTGAAAAAAAAAAA